GCTGCTGCTGCTGCTGCTGCTGCTGCTGCTGCTGCTGCTGTTGTTGCTGCTGCTGCTGCTGAGGCGGATTCTTTTGGGTTGCCTTTGCTGCTGCTGCTGCCAGTGTGTTGAATTGCTGCTGCTGTTGCTCGCGTTGCTGCTCCTCCTCGTGTTGCTGTTGCTGCTGTTGCTGTGTCTTGCTGCTGCTGCTAGTTCTGCTGCTACTGCTGCTGCTGATGGCTGTGTGTTGCTGCTGCTGCTGTTGCTGCTGCTGGTGCTGCTGTTATATATATATATATATATATATATATTTCTGTTTTTTAATAACTTTTTATATTTTAGTTTATCTTTATTTGCTGCAGCAAAATTTCCTGCCTGGTGTATTGGTGGCTGGGGCGCCGCAGCTGCGGCCCGCAGCAGCAGCAGCAGCAGCAGCAGCAGGAGCAGCAGCAGCAGCAGGAGCAGCAGCAGCAGCAACAACAGGAGCATCAGCAGCAGCAGGAGAAGGTAGCACCGAAGACAAGAGCGGTTCTGCAGCAGCAGCAGCAGCACCAGGAACAGCAGCAGCAGGAACAGCAGCAGCAGGAGCAGCAGCAGCAGCAGGAGCAGCAGCAGCAGCAGCAGAATCAGATGATGATGAAGCAGCAGGCAGCACAACACCTGCCCCCCCCTCCCCCATGCACCTTGCTGAGCAGCAAGAGCTGCTGCAGCTGACGAGGGTTGTTGCTGCTGATGCGCAGCGAAAGAGAGGGGGAGAGGAGGCCCCTCTCTTTGGCTCTGCACAGCCACCAGCAGCAGCAGCAGCAGCAGCAGCAGCAGCAGCAGCAGCGGAGAGCAGCAGCAGCAAAGAGGAAGAACTGCTGCTGCCGCAGGCGAAACACCCCAGCAGCCCAACGAAACGCAGCTGGAGTATCATAGAAACAGAGCAGCAGCAGCAGCAGCAGCAGCAGCAGCAGCAGATAAAAAGAAGACGCGAAGACGATTCAGCAGCAACAGCAGCAACTGCAGCAGCAGCAGCAGCAGCAGCAGCAGCAGCAGGGCCCCGCATGCCGCGGCCTCCTCCCCCGCAAGTTTCTGCTGCTGCTGCTGTTCTATCAGCTCAATGGTATGGGGGTGCATGCGGCAGCGTGCTGCCTCTGGGTGTATCTGCTTCTGCTGCAGCAGACGAAGACCAGCAGCAGCAGCAGCAGCAGCAGCAGCAGCAGCAAGCAGCAGCAGATGATGCTGATGCTAAGCCTGTATTCTGCCCCATATGCAACGGCCTCTATAAAGAGCTGCCGGGGGGGGGGCCGGGCGATGGGCTACACTGGATTGGCTGTGACTGTAAGACAGCTAGCTAGCTAGCTAGCTAGCTAGATAGATAGCTAGCTAGATAGATAGACAGCTAGCTAGCTAGCTAGCTAGCTAGATAGATAGACAGATAGATAGCTAGCTAGCTAGCTAGCTAGCTAGATAGATAGATAGATAGATGGGTAGATAGATAGATAGATAGATAGATAGATAGATAGATAGATAGATAGATAGATAGATAGATAGATAGA